ATACATCCCGAAACGAAAACTATTGTTGACACGCGCTTCAGGAGCAGCCATCTTTTAATGCGCCACGCTTCAAATAGGAAGAGAAACAAACGCACGAACTTAAACAGATCTGTTATGAATGATAATCTCTGTTCTACTATACGAGTAGAACCCTTAATATATAATACAGTAACAAAAAGTGCCACTTTATTCCTGCAGCGATGTAAAATAAGGTTTCAGGAGTACCCTGATCAGCAAGCTTGTTGCAACTTCTGCGCCACACAACATGGAAGTGCAGGACTGGAGGCGCTTACAACTGCATGAGGTCCAATCAGGAGTTCTAATGCCTTCAAGGACTCAAGCGCTAAAATTCTGCCGCGCTGGCGTTTCAAAATGCCTGAGTTACTTTCCAAGACTTTCCCGCCCCATGGAAAGTCTTCGGCTGAATATCAGCAGTCATTCAGAAGCCGATGATAAAACTATCGTTGATTGGCCATGTATTTATGAATGAGGCATGAGCGCAAGAATCATCATGCAGCGGACAAGACTGAAGAAGCCTCGTGCTAGGTTCACTTGAAATTAACAATGCCGTCTCTGGCTTATGAATTAATTTTTATTCAGATGCTCAAATTTTCCGTTTTACTTTTTACCGTATTTTTTATCTAGCTCCAGAACTTAGTAAAAACATTTCATAGAACTAATACCAATTTGTGGAAACAAGAGCTTACAAAATTTTACTGCCGACGTGTGAACTGCAATCATAGCGAATGACGTCTCAATAACGGATAAAATAATGGCACGGTCTATCATTGAATGCCTTACGACCATCCAACGTCAGTAATCTGATCCTGAATATAATGCAATCGGACGGTCCAGGCTGAGGAAGGAGATGCTGACGTAAGCGTTTTCGAGACAGAAAAATTCTCCGCTCATAACTCCAGCTCGGCTCAAGCTATGAAATATGTGGAGGTCAAAATATTGTTTTTTGTGTATATTGAATGAAATTGTGATGTTTTGCGTCGGGTTAATGCACAGCCACATGACGAAAACTTCGGTAGATGAGTGAAAACCGACGAAAAATGAGTAAAGGGCGCTCGCAGAAATGAGTCCGAATGGCGATGCACCGTTGGCCTCGTGTGGGTCATCCCGACCCAGTTTGTGCCCAGCAATAGTGCAGGTCATTACTGCGCCCGTTCTCTGCTCGTGATGAGGGTTAGAAAATATGTCAATATTTTGAAAAAATACCGATTAATTTTTCTGACTTAGGTGCACATTTTCAAGCTACAAATGCAAAACTCCTGAACAGCCTTTCGAAATCATTCGAAAATGAAATTGCACAAAACCGACCATAATTCGGCAATTGTTTTACACATGAGGCAGTTGAGACAATTGCTGCACCAGGAAACTGAAAAGCAAAAACCCAAATCCTCGAGAAAACACAGCCGAGCAGAAGTGCCCATAAAAGATTGGTATGGTCGAAGAGATCGATGCGTCGAGACCTTTTGGAACTTCGCTTCTCTTTACAGACGCCATTGGATACACTGCACGAACTCCACAATTGGAGGAAACAATAGAAATAAATAAGGGACCAAGCAATAACACATCACAAGCAAAAGTTGAGAGGAAGGCAATATTATAGGTAATGATAATAATTATAAAGTGAAATCAAAAATGCTTATCGAAAATAGTAAATGGCTTGCAGAGGATAAATTTTGAAGTAGTGAAGAAAAATAACACAGAGAATGAGTGATGCGACATAGGATCAGTTTCAAAACTTTTCCTTCTGTCTACTTACACCGATTTATTGTTTTTTTTTCTTATTTTATTTTTATTTTAAACATATTTCTACAGCACTCGGCCTCTCTGCGCCCATTTGAGCTGCTCAACTGTAACGCTGGCAGATAAATGATCTCAAATTAACTCTTATGCATTACAGCATCGAACAACCATAAGCAGTTACGCGACCATCAGCTACGCTACCATCAGCTACGCAACCATCAGCTACGCAACCCTCAGCAACACTCAGAAACAGGCCATGGACCTATTTCTTCAACGCCGACACTTCTATTCTATTCGCTATTCTATCAGCTACACTACCATCAGCTACACTACCATCAGCTAGCCTACACTACCATCAGCTACACTACCATCAGCTACACTACCATCAGCTACACTACCATCAGCTATATACGCAACCATCAGCCCCACTACCATCAGCAACACTACCATCAGCTACGCAACCATCAGCTACGCAAAGCCAAGGACTGGAATCATGCATGCACCAACAGACGTGACCGCCTCGTGCGTAAGTTTCAAACACCCTTCCTCGTGGGGACTGCTGAGTTTGTGGCACTAACGTCCTTTCGTACCATTACGTGCCCTAAAGACCGGCCCTGGTAATCAGCAGGACCGTTGTCACAGTTTTATTGTGATGTGTGCGTCCATTCATCAACAGCCCAGTTGCAAGTTTTTTATGTATGCACGTGCCGGCAGTTAAAAAGCCCTGCGTGGGCGTTGAATATCTTAACGTCCGTCAGCCGCTGTCCGCAGCGTGATGTTCGAATATTCCATACAGAAGCTAAGGTGAACCTAGGTACAGGTTACTGCGAAGTTTGGCTGGTTCATGCCTAACTTAGGTACTAGATAGCGAAGGTTTTGTTGAAGACCCGAGAGTAGTTATTACTAACAATTTCCCTGCTGTTTTTCTCAATTTGTCAATTGGAATTCAGATCTATAGACTATTCGTCAACATAACCTGCTTTATAGAACTATTTATACTACGTAACCTGCTTCATAGCTTTATAGAACTTCTCTGCCACTCAATAACAGTAGTTAGGAAAATAATGTATACGTGCTTCGAAATTGTAAGGAAGATAGTTTATTTACCTATTGTGCAGCAGCGCCACGCAGTGGTCTAGACAATTTAATTCAAATTGCAATGGAAGTTCATCACACAATGCAGAGCGTCCCTGACACAAGGAAAGATTAGCGGCTCACCGCGGGACTTGGGACGTATACAATCCGATGTTGCGCGTCCCTCTTTATTAGTTGCCAACAGAATGCCGCGCGTTGTCTAACACCTCAAGCTGACATATTGCCATTAGGAGCCGACATATTGCCGCGCGTTCTCTACCGCCTCAAGCCGACATATTGCCGCGCGTTCTCTAACACCTCAGGCCGACATATTGCCATGAGTCTCAAGTCTAAAAAATACACCCCTCAGGCCGACACGTTGCCGTGCGTTGTGCAACACCTCAAACCGACATATTGCCGCGCGTTCTCTACACCTCTGGCCGATATATTGTCGGGCGTTCTTTAGCATTTCAAATAATTTGCATGACGTTTCTGTCTCCCTCATCCCTACAGAAATGGTCGTACAGCTCCAACAACTGAGGGAATGATGGAGGAAAAATATTTATCGGACTTGGTTCGGCGGTACAACGCAGTCCCCGGTATTTTCCTTGCATATCATCCAGTGACTGAAGTTCATGAGTTTTGAACAGAAGTTTATTTAAATCTTTATCAAGAGTAATTAATGAAAAATTTAGATCGCTGTAATCTATTCGACGAAAGGTTAAGTTTAAATAAAGCCTACGATATTTAATAATATCACATGGTATATTTTTTGCCGAAATCTAAACGTGTCACGTGCAAAAAACATTTTAGGTATATAATTTTTATAGAAGTGACCATGACAAAACTTATTCCTGTTACTTTATGCGGTTATAAGATAACAAGGAAACTTGAAAACCCTGCGCATATTGTCCCCTTCATATTTTAAGCAATAAAATTAGATTAACGTTAAAAGTTTCTCGTAAAAAATGACTTCACAAACTTTAAAAAGTTGATCGATTTTTGGAGAGCACCCTGAAACTAATTTATGTTTAATAAAGTTTTGTTCTGAGCCCTCTTAAGATCAACGTTATATTATATAGAATCACTGTTGTCAATGATAGATCGATGTTGCCATTTCAATTATGAACTCAATCTTAGATATTAAGATAACAACAAGACGCTTTTGTACTTGCTATAAATCATGTAGATCACTGAATTGAAACGCTAAACTATATCATCATAAGTTATTTCAATAGGTATTTAAATTGTATTGGATAACACTTTAAATGAAACAAGGAACTTTATACAACACAAGCATATACAAAACACTTACCAGTGTTCTGGAGGGACCAAGTGCTTCATAGTCATAGCACACAACTTCAACACAAAATTTATTATGCAATTCCTGAACGCTCAAACATTTGCGATAACTCCTTGAATATTCTTTCACTTCTTTGTACCGAACAAAACTATACTTATTACCGCTTTACCCACAGTATCATAATTTTAACGTCAGTGACGGAAGCATACATTAGCCTTATTCGGCGCACTCATTCTTCGAACAGAGGTATTATTTAATTTTCTCGAGGAGAATTTACATCTCCGGCTGCAAGACAACGAGGCTACCGGGACACGACACAACCTCATCCCAAGAAAAGAGATCAGCGACTAACTTGAAAAGCTGAGCAATTTGATAATTTGATTTAAAAAATTATGGATAGTGGGTGAAGCGGTTGGTGAGCAAACATTAAAACTACAATTCACTTCCTCAGATTTTATATTCTAGCATAGAAGAATATATTGTAACAAATTGTTAACATTTTCTTAATCAAATTCTGATACTGCGAAGCAGAGCCTCTTTTTTAACTTTTCAATCGTGAAAACAGTCCAATAATATAATATTGTAATATAATATAATACAAACGTTTCGCTACATATATTCATATTTCATGTATAACTTCGCATGGTTATTATCATATCAAACTTTAACATTATCATTAATTTTTCTCCTTTGATTTTGCTAGGTATCTTATCATTCGAATTCAAATTTAACTGGCCAACGGCACTTTTGCAATTAATAACGCGCACTCTTAATTAGCTCCTTGTGTGAAAAAAAAAATCGTTCAGCTTTTCTATTACCGTGTGCCAACTGCCAACCAATCACCGTTCTAATGCAGACTGCCAGTCAGCTGTGACAAGTGTCATGGCTAAGGCGCGCGAACAGCGAACAAATTAATATTTCAACAACCATGTTTATGTCGTCGTGTCATTAACATGTTTAAAAGAATCAATCACTGTTATTATCCGTACCATTCCATAATATTTTTTAGAACTTTTACGTAAAGATAAAACAAAAATATGAAGGAATTAACAATTGATGATGTTTATGATTCTATTGGCCACTTGGGTTTTGGCCAGGCTTTATACATGTTGATTGTTTGTTCATTAGGAATTTTATCTCCTTTCCACATGGTCTTGAACATTTTTACAGGTAAGTTTTAAATTGAAGGTGGGGTCAGGGTTTTGCAATTCGAGGGCAGTACAAGAAAGAGTGCTAGGCCTATAATTGTCCTGAAATGTAGTGCACTCACTCACCCTGGGCCGCCCTGGCGGAGACGGCCTGGCCCAGGGCGTCCATATTTTCTGGAAAATTGAAAGTAAACACCCGTGAATGAGAAAAATGCTAATTGCTAATGCTGGCTGACATTCTACCTGTTCCAATACATAGCCCTATGGCCCAATTGGCCCCTGCCTAATTTCTTCTTTAAAAATTATTTGAAATGGTGCATTTTTAGGTACCTGCAGTTTTAAAACTTGCTTGTGAAATAATCATAAAATGTTATTTTTTGGAAAATTCTGTTCAATGTTTCAGATTGTGTGAGGTATTTCCACCAAATTTTTTCTAACATTTATAATTACATTTATTCTGCAAAAATGTAAATGTATAAAATAGTAAAAAGTCAATGCTTTTTATCATACAAATATCAATGCAATTGAAAACTGAAATGGGCTAACTGCGAAATTTATTTTTATCAAATTGGTCCCATAAAGAAGATTAGAAAATTTCTACTTATTAGGGTAAACGCGGTACATAGTGGCAAAGCAGAGAGTTTTTTTAGACTCCCTCAAGTTCATTTTTGAGTCCTATAAGTAGACCAGTAAAGTATCCTGGATACCAGCATTATCATACTTGAGAAATTGGTTTAAATCTTGAGTAAATGAGGAAATTAAAAATTAACTGATTCTAAAAAATCTCTGGTTTGCCACTATGACACGGTATATTCCGACACGTTAAGGATGCATCGAGAAATGAAAAACTATAAAAAAATAACTGTATGCATTACTCGAGTTCTGTTTGCTTTACGTGACTCTCAAAACACCGTAAAGTACTACGTGCCAGCAATGATGAAACGTCACAAAATGTTGCCATATTTATTTAAAAGCCTTTAGAATGCAAACCTACCGAATCCCTATATTCCGACACTGTGTGCCACTATGCAGAGGGTGGATGCAGCGTCGGCAATATATGGATTTTTAAGCCCAAAGCGTCACCGGCCATTTTAAAGATGCGTCGCCGGGTAATTTTTAATGAAAAGCCATTTACGCTGAGTAATGACGAACTATTTACAAGCCACGAACTTATTACAAGGTTGCATGCACGTGTTACCCCAAATAACTAATTTTACCCTAAAAACAGTCCGGTTGTACAGCAAGTGTCAACTGAACAAGTAATAAAGCAGTCTGACCGCTCTAATGCGACCGAAACTACGCAATCAAAAAAATTTTGTTTACATTTTTGCAGGAACTCATTGCAACTGATTTCCGGACAAGCTTCGCTGCATCTGGAAACCTTACTTTTTTTCCAAATAGTTGGCTGAAGATTGAGAAATATATTAAATGCAAGAATTTCAATCTAAATGTGTCGGCAAGATCTTCTGAAGGCGAAAATTTTGCCGATAATGAGTCGCCGTAGGTCTTTAAATCTTCGTTCACTCTCTGCACAGTGGACTGTGTGTGACTATATTCGGCACGTGGTGAGACGTATTCCGACCGCACTTCAAATTGTACTAATACGTAATTCCGACATCCATGTGTTCAAATTCCGATCACTGTGTGAGTGTGGGAGCTGTATTGGAATACGATACGGCTTTGAATTAGAACACTATTGAATATTGAGCACAACTTAATTAGGCTTTTAATTAACAGTTATATATATTAAGCTTTTAATTAAGAAAATTTTAATTTTTGCACACAGCTTGGAATGAGCTGTGTGTGTCCAATTCAAGTTGTATCAGAATTAGTTTTTATATGTCTAAATGCATTTCTCAACTTAATCGTCTATTAATTTATTTAACACTTGAAATCAGCAAATACAAGTATACTTAAAGGATTCCTAATATATTCACAGACGTATTTAAAAGTCTCAAACCATAATATTCTTTCTACACAAACAGTTTATCACTATTTGGTAGAGCAAGGTCAACTGTCAACTATGACACATTTTTCGATGATCTCATTGGGTGGCATGCACCATCTCTCTTTGGATCTCAACATTTTTCCGCTAGATGGCCCAGACCTAGTGTTTTGGCAGTAGTTTGAGGCACAAATGACCTCACTATTTCAACCATCAACGAACGCATGGAACTAAATCAAAGCTTAATATAAAGGAAAAACTAGAGAGGTGTTGGAATTACCCACGATGTCGGAATATACCGTGTTTACCCTAGCCTATTGGGACCTTGGGGATCCAAAAATGTCAGGAAAGCTCTACTCACAGTTTGGAAAGAATATATATTATTGTATATATATATAAAGCATTTTACATTTAGGACAATGAAAATTATATTTTTAGATGTAAAATAAATTATCCATATCCTAATGGGCTTGGAAAGGCTGTTATAGGTATATAATTACTTTTCATACTTCATGGTAAAAATTTCAGAGTGTTAAATACACCTTGAACAGAAATAAAAACAGATTTTAGGAAAATTTACCAAAATGAGCATCTGCCCAACTCTTCTAACTAGGCAATTCTTGTCATTTGACACCAGTGATGATGTTGCAAGCATTGACCAATTTCAGTTTTAATGCATGATAAAATTGCACAATATTTGAAGTATAATTTAAAGTTTTTTGTAGTCACAAGCATACCAAAGTTCTTAATGCCTTATGGCTTATAGATGCACATTTAAAATCAGACAAAATGTTTGACATTTTGAAATAATTTAAGCATTACTCACACTCACTAACTTGAGCATTAATGGAATGCTATTGATCTGTCAAAAGTATGTGTGTTTTCTTATATCATTATAATTTTTCAGGTTTGGAACCTGACTTTGACTGCATACCGGGATCAAGTTTGAACTCCAATGATGTTTCAAATTCAACATCAAGCCAAGGTGTCAAGATAAACAGTCCTGAAATAAATAATGGCTTCATCACAATTCTCTCCTCTACTGCTTCTCCAATGGACAGCAAGGCTATTGCTGAAAGAGCTCTGCTTGCAAATCACTCTTTTAATATTACACCTAATGATGAACACAAGTCTGAAATAACACCAAAAAGACCTCACACTACAAATGCACCTAAAGTAACTTCAACTTACTCAATTCTTCATGACCGATGTCCTGACAATGACCCTGCACAGTGTGTGTTGTTGTATCAAAGCTCATTCAAGTCTTTTGCTCAAGAGGTCAGTTTCTCATCCTCAAGTTCTCATGGAATTTTGTTTGTTTAGTGCTTCATAATATATAATGTTCTTGCCAACATTGTCATTTGTTGGAATTAGTTTGCTTTGTTATGTTTTTCCAGCAATATTTTTCATCATGATAATTTTTAATTTAGACCAATTTAAAATTTTTGTCTACATTTTTGACTCACAATTATAATCATTATGTACAACCTAATTTTCTAAATTAAGATGAAAAATTTGCCTTTACAATTCAGTGTTTGCCATATTAGAAATTATTGCAATAAATGAAAAATTATTTCAGAAAAATGCTGTGATATTCAGCACAATTGATTATCTAGAGTTATGTGTATTTACAATTCAATGAATTGCTCATGGGTTTAGTGGGGCCTGGTGTGCAACAAGAAGTATGCTGTAGCGCTAGTGCAGTCCATGTGGATGGGGGGTGTCCTAGCGGGTGCACTGCTACTGGCTGGCCTTCCTGACATCTATGGGAGGTTCAACACCCTCATCCTGGCTCTCATCGGCACAACAGCTCTGACGGGACTATCAAGCTTTGTTCAGCTCTACACAGTCTATGTGATGCTTAGGTGAGACATCTTCACCACACTCTCAGGCTTGTTCAGCTCTACACAGTCTATGTGATACTCAGGTGAGACATCTTCACCATACTCTCATACTTTGTTCAGCTCTACACAGTCCATGTGATGCTCAGGTGAGACATCTTCACCATACTCTCATACTTTGTTCAGCTCTACACAGTCTATGTGATGCTTAGGTGAGACATCTTCACCGTACTTGCATACTTTGTTCAGCTCTCCACGGTCCATGTGATGCTCAGGTGAGACATCTTAACCACACTCTCATACTTTTTTCAGCTCTACTGTTCAATGATGCTCAGATTATGGTGAGGTGTCAAGTGAGATGCCAGTTTATGCTATGCATCCCCAAGAAAAGAGAGAGTTCTTAACTGATTGATTAGCCTCAGATAACTCATTAGGAAGGGAAATGTCAAGCTAAATTTCAAAGAGAAAAAATTGAAGAATAAGAAATCAGTGCATTCCAATGTATGATTGATCATCTACAGCCAACACCCATGCAATGTGCACCTAATGTGTTCTTAACATGAAGAATCAAAGTTACCTTGACTTGCATTCCTCTGTCGATTCAACATGTCTTCATCATTCCTGCATGGCAAGCATGTGTTTTTTTATCATGTAATATTTTTTGTTGCATATGTATTAGTTGTGGTTGTCTACCCAGTTCTGATTGCCCTGATGATCCCACAAATGCCACTAGATTTGTTTTGCAGAATCTGCTCGAATGATTTTTTGCAAGACATGCATTTTTCATAATTAAGTTGTATCTGCTGATATTCTTATTGCCATATGTTGTTTCTGCTTAATCTATTTTTGTTCAAAATCATATTCTTTGTATGATCATTTTTTATTTAGCTTGCACTTCACATTTACAGCTAAATGGAAGATTTTCTGCAGCTTTTGTGCTTTGTGACAAAATTAATTTGTCTTTAGGCTAATTCACATTGCCTTGGTATATGTTTTTCATTCACTAGAACTTAGAGACTTCCTGACTTCAGGAGTATTGTTATTTCTTAGCATTTATTGCAACCCTTGCATGCTAATCCTTGGCTCCTGCTATGGGTATATAACTTTCCCTTGCAGCTGAGTTTATGTACATTTACTCGTGCAGGTTTTTAGGAGGCATGTTGTTTGCTATTGTGATATTGGCGAGCTTCGTGTTTTCTCAAGAAATTGTTGGCGGGAGCAAGAGAAGCCTGGTGGGGATGCTGCAGACCCTGGCATTTGCCCTGGGCATCGCCCTGCTGCCCCTGGTTGCCTCCTTCACTTCAGACTGGCGCACCCTGACGCTGCTGGCCTCTAGTCTCGGCGTCCCTGTCATCCTTATGCTCTTGTGAGTTTGAATAATATGTATTTTACATGATTAGAATTCATATTTCATGTACCATCACCATGCTCCTGTCAGTCTGAATAATAGGTATTTTACATGATTAGAATTCATATTTCATGTACCATCACCATGCTCCTGTCAGTCTGAATAATAGGTAGGTATTTTACATGATTAGAATTCATATTTCATGTACCATCACCATGCTCCTGTCAGTCTGAATAATAGGTATTTTACATGATTAAAATTCATATTTCATGTATCATCACCATCTCCTGTCAGTCTGAATAATAGGTATTTTACATGATTAGAATTCATATGCCATGTATTATTCCCACGCTCCTGTAAGTTCAAGAATTAAGTATTTACATAATTGGAATTGATAATGTATATGAGCGTGCAGTTGTCTGCCGGAGTCGCCGCGTTGGCTGGTGAGTTGTGACCGCACGAGCGACGCCCAGGCGGTGCTGGAGAGCATGGCACGCCTCAACGGCACGCAGGACCGCCTCCCGCCACAGTGGCGCCTCGTTGCCGACTGCCACAAGTAACGTCGAGAATGTTTTACGCAATTCAATGTGCATGATGTTCCATGGTATTGGAATTTTATCGAAATATGCAAAAGTCTGGCCATTTTGCCCAGTAGTTGTTCATTCAGCAAAATTTTATGAATTTTACTATGAAATAACCTGTACGTATGGATCATCACACATCGCGCACCAGACCCTAATGATTCAACAACTTTTAATTTGTCATTTATAGCATATGAATCTATTCTTGATAGTAAATCGATTCATAATAAATAATTCTTACTCAGATTCTTTCCTTGATCAGGACTAGCATGCCTCAAGCGCAACCGACAAAGAAGCGCAGCATTCGTAAGTTTATTGGCAAACTGGAGCAGAAAGGTGCTAGGCTCCTAAACCTGGAGGAGAAAAGAGTCGGGCTCCGTGCCCTGGTGCAACACGGCTACATTGTGCGCATCGTGGTCGTGCAGATCTACTCGTGGTTCGTGAACAGCGCCGTGTACTACGGCCTCACGCTCGCAGCCAGCGACATCGGCAGCAACGTATACGTGTCCACGGCGCTCAGCGGCCTCGTCGAGGTGCCTGCTGTGATCGTGGCACTCCCACTCATTGAGAGGTGAGGTTGAAATGAACCTGTTGCTTGCTGAAGGTAACAAACAGTTTGGCTAGATTGTAGCGTCATTCAACTAAAATATTGCCTGGAAAGAGATAATGCATTCCCTTATTCACACCAGTTCGGTCCTATCACTTAACACGTATATTTCCAAACATATTTTTCATCAAAGGCCTTGGCCAATCATCACAGGTTCCCTTAGTTAACACTCGCTTTTCGTCACAGTGTTTTCAATGCTGTTCGTACTAAGGTCACACGTGTCTCATTTACATGTTAGTACAAGTTACCGATGTGTCTCATTTACATATTAGTGAAACGTTTACATGTTAGTGTTAGTGAAAGTGAACAATTGACACTATGGTGGTGAGTTCTTTTCTTGGCACTTAAACCGAGCATCTTTGCCCGAACTGTCCTGGAGACATGTAATTTTATTTGCTTCTGTCACCACCATCTTCTTTTCTATACAAGTAAGAAACACAGCAGTTAACATCTATCTGAGACGAGGATCAATAATAAAGATTTAATTACGCTGCTTCTATGAAACTTTGATCTACAAGAAAGATTGCATTACATTTTTTCTATGAATTATTAATGTTTTTGTGTACCACCACATTGCGGTGATCGTATGAAACGTTTATTTTTAACATATCCCAGGATTGGACGGAGAGCCACGCTGGTGAGCTCCATGGTGTGTGGGGGCGTGTCGTGCCTGCTGATGTTGCTATGCCGGGCAGGCAGCGTCCCTTACATGGTCCTGGCGCTCCTCGGCAAGCTCTGCATCGCGGCCAGCTTTAGCATTGCCTACATACACAGGTAGGAGGCGTCAGCATGCCTACATACACAGGTAGGAGGCGTCAGCATGCCCTACATACACAGGTAGGAGGCGTCAGCATGCCTACATACACAGGTAGGAGGCGTCAGCATGCCTACATACACAGGTAGGAGGCGTCAGCATGGCCTACATACACAGGTAGGAGGCGTCAGCATGCCCTACATACACAGGTAGGAGGCGTCAGCATGCCTACATACACAGGTAGGAGGCGTCAGCATGCCTACATACACAGGTAGGAGGCGTCAGCATGGCCTACATACACAGGTAGGAGGCGTCAGCATGCCCTACATACACAGGTAGGAGGCGGCAGCATGGCCTACATATACAGGTAGGAGGCGGCAGCATGGCCTACATATACAGGTAGGAGGCGTCAGCATTGCTTACAAACACAGACAGGAAGGACAAATTTTACACAACCGCGATTTGTATCCTGATATTTGTATCAAAGTTACCGTAAGTGTAATTTTTCATATAAATATTTTTACATTTAAGCTTAATTGCTAAAAATAAGGTACTGAAATATGTCTTGAAACATGAATACTTCTTCACAATAATTCGTAAAAAATCTCAAAATTTTCAGTTGTAATTTCCAGCATTTCCGTTTGCAGTGGAGAAATTTTCCCAACATGTGTCCGCAACACCGGCCTGGGCATCGTGTCGGTGGCTGCTCGCGTTGGTGGCATCATCTGCCCCTTCCTGCTCATGCTGGGCGGCTTGTTTCCTGACCTTCAGTACATCGTTCTCGGTCTCCTGGGGCTCACGTCCGGGCTGCTGAATCTGCTGCTACCAGAAACTCTTGGTCGCACCATGCCAGAGACCGTTCAGGACGTCTTGGATCTCCGATACGAGGCCAACTTGGACGCAAATGCGAGTAAATTGAGGTACTGCAAACTCGGTGAGGACCCCAGTTCGGAGAACGAGTCTGATGAAGAGGTTGTGGAACTTGACCGCATCGGACGGAAGTGAGACGTTATATCCAAGAGAACTTGGTGGGAATTGTGGCCATCTTGTGTCGTTACGAGTTTGTAACTCCATCAGTCAATCAATGACAAAACCTATAGCTAAACCCAGCAATCACATACGAGAAATTGGCCGCTGCGTGTATTTACGTAGGTTTGAATAAAACTGAGGTGACAACGAAACTCCCAAGTTTGTTTCCAGCCGTTATAGCCTGTAAAAAATACATTTATCATGAAACGCTTTGCATTCTGTACTGAATATTCGGCAACGAAGGAAAGAAAAAATGTACCTATAACAAACGAACGCAAAGCAGTTTGAAAATTATGTCAACTAACAAGCTAACATTACCCACTGTTAACTAGTTAATTGACATAGTGTCGCCTGGCTCGCGCTGTTCCTGCTAAAACGTGTCGAAATTACAAGATTGGGATACAATGATTTTGAGGCAGGAGGAATCTCGTACTAAACTTCTATGCTCATATTTCAATGCCTATTGTTGCCGACTTTATTTCCATCTATGGTAATTGTTTAGAATTTTTATTTGGTTATTTTCTGTGTTTTTTGTGTGAGATTTTGCTTGTTAAAGTTGTTAGCCAATGCCAGTTTGTACTAAAGGTTGATTTATGCTACATTCAAGGATTTCTCTTGGTCGGCTGGTGTTCGACTGCACAGTATATTTCTACAAGTTATTTATGTAGGAGCCGTATAGTTTGTTTTAACCCTCAACTCTAAACCGATAAGGTGCATTAATAGGTTGCGGTGCATGTCATATATTTAAATTATCAAAAAATCTGCAATTTAATATCAATGCATAATAAATTTACTAATTTTGCATTATAATTCATGATCAATTTATTAATTTTGCATAATAACGCATAATTCATTATTAATGCTAGGCGTTAATTTTCGTACCGTGCGTCATCACGTTTCATTGAAGCGCAGTCGTGATGATTGACCGTTGAAAAAAGTTCTTCGCAATTTCAACTTATACCATAATTAAAATTTGCGACTTGGTTCGGTACTTGAGTTCTAATTCATTGATACAAGTTTTCAAGTGTTAACTTGAAAGTTTAATAATCAGTTTATTTATTAGAATCATAATTGACGAAGGTTAGAATTTCACATCACAGTTCAAGTTGACGAATTATTGCCGGATCTAACTTTTCACTCAACGCCTAAAACTTTACTGAATTGTGTCCGTGTTTGCCTAAGCTTCCACTTTATCCGACAACTGAGCTGCTGTCAAAATGTGCTTCCAATCGCTGCTCATCTTGCCTACGGATACTCTTACCGCCGTCAATGTTATTCGTCCTTCACTTGATGATAGCATCCACTGAAGAGTTAGCTTCTCTTGATGTTAGCATGTGCTAAATGGCTAGTTTCACTTGTCCAGAAACCAGAATGGAGCCTGTCTATTATTTCCATTTTATCAAGTTTTCAATTCGCTTTTTAATCGACGGTATTTATGTTCTTGGGTTTTACGGTGCTTGGACCGTATGTTCTCAGTGCTTTCATAGTATAGTAAGGAATTTGTTTTATATTGAAAAGACTTGACTCGGAGAGTTACTAAAAATGTTATTGCAATTTATAGCAAAGTCTATTCTTAACTAAAATCAATTGGTTGGTTTATGACTTGTTTTATGTTATAAAAGTTTATTTCGAAGTTGAATCAATTACTTTGTTTACGATTGGTCGTGCAAGAACATACTGCTTATAGCAAGTAATAGTGCTCTTTGAGCTGCGTCGTTCTAGTCGTATTGATACAATTTTTTTTATCTCAAGTTTTCCAGAAATTAAATTAGGAGCTGTTTAACTGAAGTAGATGATGCTAGGAGCTATCTAACTGAAGTAGATAATGCAAGGCTTTGCGGTAATCTACCTGATAGTTCATTATGCAGCCATGAACAATAATATTATACCAATAACTTATGTGATCACCATGAACATTATTGTATTTATAATTTTTTAGCCACCAAAGAAACATTCTCTCTATAATTTCTATTGTAACCAGGAACAATGCATAATGTGACGCTTGTGGCATGCAATGTGTGGCAAAATTTTGTGATGGGACCGTGTGCCTTTGAATGCGTGAATGTCACGCGCCTGTTAGATTTTATCTTAAAAGTGTGCGCTTCAGTAAGTTAAAAGCATTTAAGCTCAGAATCAACGATCATTTGGAACGAAGTAAGAGAGTATTTACTGACGCAACGAATATATTTTCAAAGAACAAATATGTATCTGTTGCATTTATTGCGATGTGAATGTGTGATTCTATATTAAGTTGTTTGGAAGAAAAGTATATATTCTATAATCATAATTATCAGATGATATCTTCCTATAATAAATTTATATTCTACGCCTTGTCCTGCAGTCGCGTTTACTTACTCACTGCAGCTGCTCTCCCAGACAATTGAAGACTTTTAGAAATTGACTAGCGTTTCCAGTATCGCTCTTTGAGAAATTAGCTGGTACGTATCTCGAGTCTTATGCCTTGGGAAATTTGCTAGTACCTCGAGTCTTTACAAGATGACATCTATTACCTGCAGGGAGCTTTTTATATTTGTTCCGTGCTTCTGACTGAATATTCACTACTTGGTTCAGTCAATTTTCGCGATAGATATTCCCGCGCTTCTACAGTTACTACACTATAGTTAGGGTTAACTGTCAAATTTTTTAATCAACGTACGCCATGTATATCACTCCTTCGTTACCGTGGTATACTTCACAGCTAGCAGCAGGTCCTGTAAAGCCAGCGAAGTCCAATTCGGTGCCCACGGTTTCTCAGCCTCAAAGGCTCGTGTAAAAACGGTCAATTGTTAGAACAAGGACGTCAAGTGAATGCAATCCACTTGTGATATTAAATTAATATATTGCCATCCAATAATATCAAGATGCCAAGTCGGCTCATATGACCGATTTCTTCATTAAAAAGCTTAAAAACGTCATTACGTTGATACCAGTTCTTATAATCCAGTCATGTTCAACGACACGCAAAACTCCTACCCAGCAACAGCTGCGTCGCCCCTTCACCACAGTAGCCGCTGTGGCTGACTGAATGTTCTTCAGTTTCCTTCTAAAATCATACAGCAAAACCAGAGTTCAGTAAAATTAAATTTATTATCCATGTCTACACACACAGGCATCTTAATATTAGTAAGAAACAATTCCAACAACGAGCGTGACATATACGGAGAATTTGAAGACAGGCGAGAGGAACGAACGATGCTCTAGTAAACAAACATTTGTATTATGGGATAACCCCAGTCTTCACTAACGCCTACATTTTCATTTTCTGCTCCTGGATACATTTATTTCAAGGTGGTCGCGAGCTTTGCGTTGACACTAATGAATTTTTTCATTTAGACATGAAGTACCAGCTATCAAGCCCCAAAAAATGTTCACCATTTATAGTTTATTGTGAGAGAACTTGAGAAACTGGTAGCCGTGTATTTTCCGTCACATAATAATGTTTTTTCACACAGTAACAGGTGGTTGCAGTGTTGGTCGGTAAGAATGATTCGTTGCATGTCCGTATGACTCCTCAACAAGGACTAACTGAGCTAGTAACTCCTGGCACAACAAGCGCTTCACCTTTCTAGAGCCTACATCAGCGAGGACAGCCCAAGATGACGTCTCACAATATAAATTGTCACCAAACACAAAAAACTTCATCAGCAAATGAGTACCGATTATAGGATATAATCGTTTGTTTCATGAGTAAAAACAGAATGAAGGTACTTAGGAGCTTTATAATATGACAAGCTAATAAAAACGGATGGAAAGGAAATCAATGTTATGTTCTCAACAAATATCGTTGGTGTGACTGGCATATTTTACCAGTCAAATTATCACGAGGCTTGTAAATGTGACGAAAAATGACCCATGTTTGAGCAGAGGCGAAGCATCGGAGTGCGAGTGAACTCCGCATAAGCTCCACGGAAAAACAATCGTTTGTATTCAAGTTTTTCCATTATCATGTGTCTAGTAAATCTCACGAAATAAATTAGATGTTTCTAGGTCGGGATCACTCGGTAAATCATCTAGGTTTCAATCACTGGTAAACCATCTAGGTCTAAATCACTTGGTAACAGCTTGCAATATATTTCAATTGTGCTCTAAATTTTAATTCAAGTCTTTTATTATCTGACCTTTTACACATAAAATCACAGTGATTGATCTCTCTGATTAAAAAATGAGTCCATTTGATAAAATAATGTAGATTTGAATTGGTAAACTAGAAGGGCTAACAAGATTCATAAATAGCACTCTATTATAGACGGTACCTATGCATTGTTAGCTTTTTCTTGTAGATATTCCAATACATTTATTTAGAAGAGCGTGAGGCTTAACTTAGTTGCTATTTGTACAGGAGCAAAGCAGGCAAAGGGCAGCGATGAAGCCTACGAGAATATCTGTTCCAGGGCACGGTCTAAGTTCCAGTCACAGGCAGAGAGCGCCACCAGAGCCTGGTGCTTCTCCACGCCCAGGTCTAGCAGCGTGTGAATCTTCTTGTCAAAATCAGGGTTGAGTTGCTTGCCTGCAAATAGATTTCAGAATTCAAACAAGAAAGAAAAACTATTTGGAATAGATGAATTCAAAATAGCAAACAATATTTGGTGGGGAATATTATACAAATATTTCTGAAATTAAGTCAACTCTTAGTTTAATTTTCATTAAAACGAATCATTAACTTTAGAAGTGTATTCTTAAGATTTGCTAACTGCAAGCAAATTAAATTTAAATACAATAAAATGTATAAAGGATTCAGCAAATCGAAACCAAATTCTCAAGATATATCAACAAATAATAAATCTCATCAATTAACACGTGGTCATAGACGGCGGTCCAGCAGCGAGTGGTGATGGTGAAAAGCGCCCAGTTTTATTAGTACAGACATCAACAAATGAAATTCATCAACTGATATATAAATAAATGTTAACATCAGACCTCCAGCATGAACAGTAGTCCAGTATCGCGCTGTGCTGGTGAAGAGCGCTCTGTTTTCCTTGTATTGGTTGGCAACCACGGCGTCCTGAGGGTCATCAGGCTCGGCCGCAGCCAGCAGCGCCTGCAGGGACAGCAGCACAACCCGCAACGTCATGGCGGCCGCCCTGGAGCATTTAATACATTTAAAAAATGTTTAACTAGTCTAGCAAATTCATCAGCATGTTGATCTTGGCAAGTTTTATCAAATAAAATCTTATGATTAGTAGTGTTCATGTCATTGCTTTCATGATGGTCAACGTTCTGCAGGTCTAGCATCACCGAGTTGGTTAGTTTTGTATAGCTTTTGATATAAAGGTATCAGCAAAAAGTTTTCTGAATGCAGCAAATTTACACACAAAAAGGAAACTACTAAACAAATATAATTATAATATTCCTGCATGAAGGTGAAACTTGCAATATATGATGACTTGTAAAAAAATACTTAAAATTCAATAGGTAGGTACCTTAATTCAGAAGGCAAGATATCGCGTGCATCAAATGTAGACAAGACTTTCATAATAACCACCCTCTTTTAATTGCATTGGTAATCCAACACATCTATATATATTTCCAGTTCAATCACTCGCACTGCAACATTTTTCAATGCATGTAGGTACTAGTCATATTATTAGTGCACAAGGTACTAGTGCCTAACTTACCATTGGTCTTTCAAGATGTCTAAGCAGATGGCTCCAGTCACTGATGAGACGTTGGGATGCCAAATTTTTGTGAGAAATTTGACCTGTAAAATGAAGCTACTAATATCAAATGAAGTTCACAAATTATATATATTAGTTTGCAAATAAACAAAACAAGGCCAAAAATGATTGTTATTCAGGGTTATTCTAATAATGGACCCAATTTTTAAATTCATTATTATCTAAGTATAAATTCAAAATGAATAATTTATCCACCAATGGAAATAAAAAGATTCAAAGTTTTTTCCATATTTATAAATGTTCAACATGTCTCTCTTTTCATTGGATAGGACATACGTAAGCATTGGATAGGACATGCGTAATCAGTCAGTTCCTGAGCGTTTGGTAGGATGCACAGGATTTGAAGATCAGGCTCTACACTTTGAGCCCCTGAGATCACCTGATCTCACACCATGTGACTATTTCTTATGGGGTTACGTCAAGGAAGCTCTTTACGTAATGCCTCTACCAGCAACTCTGTTCACATCCCGCCTCTACCAGCAACTCTGTTTACATCTTGCCACTACCAGCAACTCTGTTTACGTCCCGCCTCTACCAGCAACTCTGTTTACGTCCTGCCTCTACCAGCAACTCTATTTATGTCCCGCCTCTACCAGCAACTCTGTTTACATCCCGCCTCTATGAGCAACTCTGCTTATGTCCCGCCTCTACGAGCAACTCTGCTTACGTATTGCCTCTACCAGCTACTCTGTTTACGTCCCGCCTTTACCAGCTACTTTGTTTACATTCTGCCTCTACCAGCAACTCTGCTTACATCCCATCTCTACCAGCAACTCTGTTTATGTCCCGCCTCTACCAGCAACTCTGTTTATGTCCCGCCTCTACCAGCAACTCTGTTTATGTCCTGCCTCTACCAGCAACTCTGTTTATGTGTCGCCTCTACCAGCAACTCTGGTTGATCTGAAGAACCATATCGCTGCTACGGCGCACTCAGTAACAGAAGAGATTCTTTGTTGTGTGTGGCACGAGTTTGGCTACCATTTAGATGTTTGCTCTGCAGCACAAAGGGGCGCCCTTAAGGGACATGTTGAATATTCATAAATATGTAGCAAAAATTTTGAATTTTTCTATTGGTCTATAAATTATTCGTATCAAATATGCACAATTAAATATAAATTTATTAAATTGAGTCCATCATTTAAATTGAGTCCCTTGTATTTCAAGAGTGACAATGACTTTCATCATAGAAAATTTTGAAATCAAGTTATAATAACCTTATGTGAAAAAATATTAGAATGCAAGCACAGACACATTCTATTCAAAATTTGTTGTCTTAAATGCAAGATAATTAAGCATGAAAAAAAATTAAAATTGATGCTAATACCAGTCTAGACAATATTATTTGACTAAGGCTATCCTAACATGAAAAATGAAGGCAAAAAATAATAAGTAATCAATTGAATTCCAGTCAACAAGATAATTTAAATAATAAACAGTGATCTCTAAGAAAGGGATATTCTATAACAAAATGTCATTTTCATTTAAAGCTCTCATCTTGGGCTAAATAAAAAAATGACACCTGCAATAAGTCTATTTTAATGTTCAAATTACAAATATATATACTATATGATATATCAAAACCTAAATAAAAAAATACAAAAAAAGGTCTGCAAAAGACTATGCCAAAATTTTACAGGGTAAGTTTTTACCTTGGGTGGATTGAATGGATACGTGTCAGGTATTTTGATTTCTAATTTAAAGTTGCCACTCTCATACGGTGTGTCTGGAGGACCCGCAATCTCCCCATTGATGTGACGAAAATCACTTCCATCCATTTCTAATTTGATGGAAAACTTCTGAGCCTGCAGTGGAAAATGAGTAATTCAGCATCTGAGTGAATTTCATTACTTGAAAGATGAGATGTCATGGTAATGGTGCTAATGAGGCAATTGGCTGAAAAATGCACTAGTTGAAATAGCAAACTTGTAATTTTTCCCTGACTATGAAAAATTTCAATAGTTGACATTATACCATTATCATCAAATGAGGTAATAAGGGACTGGCAGGGTAAATCAGGACAGTTGTCCCACATTTTGTAGAAATTTTGTAGCAGCTAAACTAATCAAAATATTGCACAACTAAAAATAGTACGTAACAAAGTTCAACATTTTTACAACACTTTTCTTCAACTTCACTTCTAGTTTGTTCGTTATTTTGTCTGTCTGCTACAAATCCTATATAATCAATATTTAACACATTTCTACCTCCCCACTCAATCTGAAATCTTGCACACTTGCGTAAAGTTGGAGACAATGCACGAATCAATTGACAGAATAAATAATTTTGAAAATTTAAAAAATGTTATTTTTGATATTAAATAATATACCATCAAAGGGGGTAATAAGAGACGGTTTTGAGCGTTTTTTGTAAATAACTTCTTACCAGGAAACATTTCATGAAGAAGTTAAGGCTCATTTTATAGCTCTTTGCAAGGGCTATCGAATGGCATCTTCAAAAAAATTCCGTATGCTTTTCGTAAGGTGCCAGACACAAATAAAACCATCCCGAATTACCCCTGGGAATGTTGTAATCTGGGACACTTAAAATAAAACTCAATATTAAAATGTTTGATGCATGCAGAGTGCACTCATCCATTACTAACAGTACTCTGAAGTCCTCCTCTTTCATTACCGTCAACTGGGGCTACTCGGGACGGTTTTGAGCGTTTTTTGTTAATAACTTCTTACCATAAAACATTTCATAAACATGTTTAGGCTCATTTTATAGCTCTTTGCAAGTGCTATCGAATGGCATCTTCAAGAAAATTCCATATGCTATTCGTAAGGTGCCAGAAGCAAAAAAAGAGCATCCCGAATAGCCCCATCAAACAGGGCTACTATATATGACAATCTGTGCACAATTTTGTAATAACCAATGATGCATTGATTTTTTGATAAGTGAAATTTTTTTGCTGAGCGAGGTAAACATGATCAAAATTCTTTGTTAATTAATTTTTTGGTTAACTGGAGCCTTTTCTAACTGAGGTTAAACTGTAAATGCGTTTTTAGGGGTGTCCCTTATTACCTTGGGGAGGGGGTGTCCCTTATTAACCCATTGTGCAGAAATAGCTGCCATTTTTTTTAATGAGATAGGCAAATTCTGTCAATCAAGTTTTCAAGCTGGTACCAGTGTGCAACTTTTATGCTAGTAAAATTTTTTAATAGTGAATATTAGAATATTACTAATATTATAATAGGTACCGTAAACTGGGGTAACTTAGACTCCTGGGGTAACTTAGACCACTTTTGGTTTTTTTAACAAAAACCCCCAAAACTCAAAAACTATTTGACATAGAAAAATTCTGTCAATGGGCATTAAAGGCCTAATACTGAGGCTACGTAACACAATAGAAAGATTTAAAAAGTTTGCATATCTAATAGGAAAATTAAAAATGTGACCCACGAAAAAAAGCTATTTTTTAAAGCCTCTCAGAGTACCCCCTCCAATTTCTTTATTTTTTAGCAAAATAACTCCAGGTTTTGATGCATTGTAGTACAACTCTTCTAGTTACATATGCAACAAACAAATTTGAGAAAAGTCTCATAGTTTGCAAATGGGGGGCGCCGCCCCCCAATGGGGGAACTTAGACCACCTAATGTCAGCCCTGACGGGGTAACATAGACCGGCTTGGAAATAAATTTAAAATTACCATATATAACATATTTTATGTTTGACAGCCTATTTATGTATCTTCTTTATGTTTCAGACTCTACTGAGTCTTATATATGGTAATTTTAGCTTAATTTCCAAACCAGTCAATATTACCCTGTCAGGGCTGCCCTGTCAGAGTTCCCCAGTTTGGGGGAACTTAGACCACCTGGGGGGCGGGACCCCCCATTTGCAAACTATGAAACTTTCCTCAAATTTGTCATTTGCATATGTAACTAGGAGAGTTCTACTACAATGCACCAAAACCTGGAGTTACTTGGAGTTATTTTATCAAAAATATAATTGATTTTACCACACAGTCTAAGATACCCCCAGAGCTGGGGTAAAAAAGACCATCGATTTTTTTTAAATTACATCAAAACTATGAGAGGCAGGAGCCAGCAATTTATGGTGAGTGAAGCTAGAGTATAGACCTGTATTTTGCATGTTTCAATTTAAGTTTAACTTATCTAGTAAAAAAATGGCATCATTTTAAAAAAAAGTGGTCTAAGTTACCCCAGTTTACGGTATTATTACTAATAATAATAATATAATATTATTAATATTAGAAGTACCTCTACAGGCCTTAGCAGAGGTACTTTTCCATAATCGCACTTCTCACACTTTTTTTCAGCAATTTTTGAGCGATAGTAAATGTGTGATTTTTTAACTAGCTTTATACATAATAGATAGTGAAAATGTTACAGTATATGCCACTATTTTTAGTTTTTCAATATTATGATAAATTTTGCTGCTACAACATTTCTACAAAATGTGAGACGCACATACCGATTTACCCCGCCCATCCCTTATAACCTCATTTGCCGGTGCCCTTTAAAATTACTTTTCAAAGACAGCACTTCTAAAGAATCCAGTGTCTTCAATATTAAAGATGTACAATGAATTTCTCATTTTATTTTCATATATTAAAAAATTAATTTTTCAATTATTTTAATATATAAAAATTGTTTTTCAAATTATTTATTCTGTCAATTGATTCATGCAATGCCTCCAACTTCACACAAGTGTGCAAAATTTCTTAATCAATTGGACAGGTAAAAGTGTATAAAATATCAGTTATAAGATTTGTAGCTGACAAAATTATTTTTCCAATTTTTTGATATTAAAAAATCATTCATCTTGTCATTTGATTCTTGCATTGTCTCCAACTTTACGCGAGTGTGCAAACTTTTTAGATTGATAGGATAAGTAGAAGTATGTTAAATTTTGATTATAAGATTTGTAGCAGACAGACAGACAGACAGACAAACAAGAAGTGAAGTTAAAGAGAAGTGTTGTAATAAAAAAATATGATTCTAAAAATTACTTTTTAAAGACAACACTTCTGAACAGTCCAGTGTCTTGGATGTTACACATGAAGAATGAATTTCTAATTTTATTTTAATATATTGAAAAAATTCATTTTTCACAATTTTTCTAAGATATAAAATTTTGTAAATTATCAAAATTATTTATTCTGTCAACTGAATCATGCATTGTCTCTGACTTTATGCAATTGTGCAAAATTTCAGATAGATTGGACAGGTCAAATTGTGTCATATATGGATTATAAGATTTGGAGCAGACAAAATTATTATTAATTTTTTTTAATAATAAAAAAATTTTAATTTATGAAATTATTTATTCTGTCAATTGATTCATGCATTGTTTCCAACTTTACGCAAATGTGCAAAATTTCAGATTGATTGGACAGGTAGAAGTGTGTCAAATATTGATAATTAGATTTGTAGCTAAGTCAAAATTATTTCCAATTTCTTTTAATATTACAAAAAAAATTCTTTTCAATTCTTAAAATCATTTATTCTGTCAATTGATTCATGCATTGTCTCCAACTTTATGCAAGTGTGCCAAATTTCAGATCAATTGGACAGGTAGAAGTGTGTTAAATTTTGATTATATGATTTGTAGCAGACAGACCAACAGACAATCAAACAACAAGAAGTGAAGTTAAAGAGAAGTGTTGTAAAAATTGAAGAAAATAATTTTGTCTGCTACACATCCTATAATCAATATTTAACACACTTCTACCTGTCCAATTGATCTGAAATTTTGCTCACTTGCATAAAGTTGGAGACAATGCATGTATCAATTGACAGAATAAATAATTTTGGAAAATTTAGAAAAATTTTACATTTTAAAAATAAAATTTAGAAATTAATTTTTTAATATTTGATAACAAAATTAGAATTTCATTGTATGTACATGTATAACATTGGAGACACTGGATTCTTTAGAAGAGTTGTGTTTAAAGAAAGTAATTTTTAAATGCATGTTATTTCTATGTAGCAAGTTAAAAAATCATACATTTACTGCCTCTAAAAAATCCCCCAAAAAAATGTAAAAAATGAGATTTTAGTAAAGTACCTCTGCTAAGGTCTGTAGCAAAAAAATATTTGCTTTATTAAAAAATTTTACTTACATAAAAGTTACACACAGGTGTTGGCTTAACAACGCGATTGATGAAATGTGTATCCTACTGTAAAATGGGGTAACTTAGACTAGTACTTTTTTTATTCAAAATGATGCCATTTTTTTACTAGCTAAATTAAACTTAAATTGAAACCTGCAAATTACAGGTCTATACTCTAGGTTTCCTCATCATAAATTGCTGGCTCCTGCCTCTCATAGTTTTGATGTAATTTCAAAAAAGTGATGGTCTTTGTTACCCCAGCTCTTGGGGTATCTTAGACTGGGTGGTAAAATCAATTATATTTTTTGGCAAAATAACTCCAGGTTTTGATGCATTGTAGAATAACTCTTCTAGTTACATATGCAAATGACAAATGTGAGGAAAGTGTCATAGTTTGCAAACGGGGGATGCCGCCCCCAAATGGGGGAACTTAGACCACCTAATGTCAGCCGTGACAGGGTAACATTGACCAGCTTGAAAATTAGGTTAAAATTACCATATATAAGACTCTGTAGAGTCTGAAACATGAAGAAAAACATTAATAGGTGAATCAAACAAAAAATATGTTATATATGGTAATTTTAAATTAATTTCCATGCCAGTCTATGTTACCCCATCAGGGCTGACATTAGGTAGTCTAAGTTCCCCCATTTGCAAACTATGACACTTTCCTCAAATTTGTCATTTGCATATGTAACTAGAAGAGTTCTACTACAATGCATCAAAACCTGGAGTTATTTTACCAAAAAATAAAAAAATTGGAGGGGTACTCCAACAGGCTTTAAATAATAACTTTTTTTCTTGGGTCACATTTTAAATTTTGTAACCTATTAAATATGCAAACTTTTTAAATCTTTTTATTGTGTTACATAACCTCAGTATTGGGCCTTTGATGCCCGTTGACAAAATTTTTCTATGTCAAATAGATTTTGAGTTTTGGGGGTTTTTGTTAAAAAAACTAAAAGTGGTCTAAGTTATCCCTGGAGTCTAAGTAACCCCATTTTATGGTATCTCATTCCAAAAAAAAAATGCGGCCATTTCCGCAAGACGGCGTAATAAGGGACACCACTTGGGGGTAATAAGGGACACACCTGAAAACGCATTAACAGTAGAACCTTGATTAGCAAAGGCTCCAGTTAAAGAAAAATCAATTAACAACAAAGAATTTGTATTACATTTATCTCGCTCTGCAAAAAAAAATTTCTCTCAACAAAAGATTAATGCATCATCGGTCATTACAAAATTGTGCATAGAATATCATAGATAGAATTGTGCACCAGGCAACACAGAATGCAAGTAATTACCCTAAATTATTATTTATTTCTCCAAAAAATATGATGGTTGTCACTAAAATATTCCTTTCTGTATGGGTTTGTTTTTATGATCTTTTTACAACACTTCTCTTTAACTTCACTTCTTGTCTGTTTGTTTGTTTGTCTATCTGCAACAAATCTTATAATCAAAATTTAACACACTTCTACTTATCCTATCGATCTGAAATTTTGCACACTTGTGTAAAGTTGGAGACAATGCATGAATCAAATGTCAAAACAAATTATTTTAAAAATAAAAAAAAAAATTTGCAAATTACAAAAATTGAAAAAATAATTTTGTCATCTACAAATCTTATAACTGATATTTGACACACTTTTACCTGTCTAATTGATCTGAAATTTTGCACACTTGTGTGAAGAGAGGCAATGCATGAATCAATTAATAGAATAAATAATTTTAAAAAAATTATATATTAAAAAAATTTTATATATTAAAAAAATTCATGTATTAAAATAATTTATATAATAAAAAAATAAAAAATTTATTTTTTTAATATTCGAAAATTAAATGAGAAATTCATTGCACATCTGTAAGATTGGAGACACTGGATTCTTTGGAAGTGTTGTTTTTAAAATTAAAAAAATAATTTTTAAATATATAGGTATTATTGTTATAGTGAATTCACTTGACCCAATTAAAATGGTGTGAAATTACAAGCTGTCCTGTAAGCTTACAGATACAGAAGAAATGCTACATGGTTCCTTATATGAAGCTTGCAGTGGACAGGTTTGTTGTCAATGCTCGGTGACATGTCAATGGATACGGTAATATCACATCAATAATATGGTAATATATGGATATGATAATATCATATCAATAAAGGAAAAACAAGTAAAAATCACAGACAATGTCATTTATTCTAAATCTACATCATCTACAATGAAAGAGGAGGACTTCAGAGTACTGTTAGTAATGTATGAGTACACTCTACATATACTTCTAACATTTAAAAATTGTATTTCAAGTGTCCCGGATTACACCATTCCCATGGGTAATTAGAGATGCCTTTATTTTGTGTCTGGCACCTTACAAAAAGCATATGGAGTTTTTTCAGAGACGCCATATGATAGCCCTCACTAAGATCTTTAAAATAAACGTATATACGTTTATGAAATATTTCACAATGAGAAGTTATTGTTGAAAAATGCTGAAAACTGTCTCTTATTACCCCGTTTGATGGGTGTATTTTGTTCAAGATATAATGAGAGGGAATTCTTTGCAAGAAGTTATTTTACCATTTTTTAGAATACCGACTAGGTTTTTTAAGAACATGTGAGTTTGTTTCTTTAATTTTGCATAAATTATCTTCCTACTTAAAAAACAACAAGTAATACAATCTCATCAATTGTTTAGCACTTACAAGTTACAATAGTAGAAGCCTTAAGGATTGGTACAAATTCCAAGGTGCTTAATTATTATCAGGAAGAAACTGAAATTTATTTTTTGGAAGCTTGCACTTTTTGAGTTTTGAGAAACAAGAACATATCAAAGAAGTAGGTTAATTGTTACAATACATATTTTTCTCATTAATTTGTAGTCTCTGACATATATACCTACATCAACTTTTTTTAAATAGTGATACATCATGTAAATGATGCATCATCCATTAACTCATTATTTGAAAAATCAACAATTATTGGTTAAAAGTTATGGCAAATGTAATAAGAGAAATTGATATTCTATAGCATAAAATTTTTAATAATAAAGATAAATTATAAAGTCTGAGAAGATAAGTATGTATGAATGATAGATGTGAAAAAAGTAATAAAACCCATATTACCCATTTTTGCTTGGGTTTTTGAATGAAAACCTGGGTGTTTTTATAAAACCCATGTAGGTTGAGCAATTTAAAAAAAAACAGGGTTTTTTGCAACCCTGATTGGAACATGTGAAATTGGCTAGCTTCACGGGCATTTTTGTCCAATTTACAGGTGGCTTCTGCCCAATTTTCTACTTAGGGCATCAAAAGTTAAATACTTTACCTCATCAGATTTGATGACTTCATTAAATTCTCGTTGAATTCGTTGGGCAGCAATGTTAGACATATTGTCAACAAAGAAACATATATATCTAATTCTGGAAAATACTCAAGTTATATACCTGCACATGACAATTTTTTGCAAAAAATCAGAAAAGGTTTAAAAATACTGCTTAATTTATACTAAAAATGAGCTTTTTGACTTAGATAAAATAAATAAAATAAAGATAGATAGATAAAAATAAAGATAGATTACTAAATAGGAGAAAAATCATTCTTTAGTTCTCAAATTGGCATAGAAAAGCTATGAAGAACTACTGATAACTAAAATCTCACCATTCCAAGATGAGTAAATGACAAATATCCAGCTCAATGATGAACTTTTAGTAACAATTAGGCAGGAGATAATTTACCTTTAGAGCAAGAATCTCACAGAACCAAAAATGGCAGGAGAGCTCTGATTGCTGTCAGCTATTAAATATGTATATCATATAATTCAGTTCCCCATCTGGTAAAGCTTGGTGATAAAGCTACCTACTTAAGCTATTATCATGTAATTCACAATATTTATATTGTCAATATTTGACATTTGGTTTCAAAATGTATGGAAGCTTGTAAGCACAATTGACAGGCATGGAATATATCTACTTGGCAAGTTGGCAAGCCGTGACTGGATTTTTCAAGTCGTGGTTTTAAGGGTTTGCCAGCAGTGATTCCATTTCTTTGAGCCGTGATCCCATTTTTTCAAGCCGTGAATTCCATATCTTGGACATGAAAAGCAATTTACAAGCTGCAAAATTATAAACAATGTCACTTTCACATGTTACCCCTGGTACCCCAATTTCTCAAATATATAATTTTACCCAAAAAACAGTCCGATCGTACATCAACACTAACATTTGTCTTCTCTTAAGGCCAGTAGTCACAGTGCAGCAAAGTCTGTGAGCGAGAAATTTGCGACAAGGATGTGGAACCCTTTTCCTGTATTCAGATCGGCAAGTTGCTGCACTCGAGCTTGTTGCCTTTGCAATATGATACCTGAGCCAGCACCCATCTTAGGGCTGTGGCTGTCTCTTAGGTGGCCAAGGAATGGCCTGTGGTCGGCTAGAACTAACTGGCCTTGGCCGACCACTGGCCATCTATTATTACTTGCCCCTCATTGTGCTCCCCTTCACCACAAGAGTGACAGGCGGGTAATTTACAAGGTGTGTTTCCCCTCATTTTTTCCCCAACTCCTTCATGAGAACTGCGGCTTTCAAAGAAAATGTGAAATCTCTGATTTAGCAGTAATGAAAAAATACTTTGTTAGAAAATATCTACATAATAGAGGTTGATTCAGATATGTCTGTAATACCAATCAATAGAGAATAAATACAACAACATCCTTGTGTCTCACAAAATTAGGTAAGTCGCAGTATAATGAACATTGATTGATTGATGTATAACCTTTTCCTCTATCATAACTAATGCTAGACAAAATTTGCATATTTTTTTGTTAGAGAAATTGTAAATAAATAGCTGAATAAGCATGACAAAATTCAGATTGATATTTTTATTTAAAAGCGGAGTTATAATGACTATACGTAGTGACAGATTCCCATAGGGATCCAGCCATTGCTGCCTGAGGGCTCACGGTTATCAATTGCAGCCTTAAGTTACAACTGAACATGTAATAGCTAATAATGCAGTCTGACCACACTGACGTGACCACAACTGTGCAATCTTCAACTAAATGTTTTGGGTTTATTTGTTGTTATTACGTTCTGCATGATATTTTGGCAGGAGCATTATAGTAATGCGGATTGTGGAAGTTGAAAATGTTATGAAACTACATGTTTGCAAAGTGAAAATCGAGATTTTTCTAATAGAACAAAAATACATGGCATTTGATACGCAAGATTTCATACCTACTGAAACACTGCCACTCCTCACTTGAGGCTCACTACCTTTTAGTACCTTATACTGCACACAGACACAGTGACAAACCAGAGATTTTTAGAATCAGTTCATTTTTAATTTCCTCATTTACTCAAGATTTAAAGCAATCTCTTATGTATGATAATGCTGGATTGCTGGTATCCATGATACTTTGCTTGTCTATTTATAGGACTCAAAAATGAACTTGAGGACGCCTGAAGTTGAGGGAGTGTCTAAAAAACTCTCTGCTTTGCCACCGCACCATGCCGGGCGGTTATACAGTTATATTTAGAGGGAATAGAGGCTTATATCAACATGCTTATGGGCTATGGCTTACAGACGGTCAATGTCGTTATGTCAATAACCTTGCCAGCACCCAGAAACACTAAGGTTGCCTGTCTTCTGTCTTCAATTGAAATGATATATTTCAAATTCATAAATACAAACAAAATTGAACACATATTTCTCCTTTTTAGTTTTTAGTGCTAGCAAAATAGTTTTTTAGTTATTAGCTTATTATGTCGCTACGGACGCTACCAAGGCTAAAAATTGTATTCCTGCCAGTATTGCATGGGTTTTAGTTTTACTCATTTAGTGACAAGCAGGCTGAAGCAGCTAAGCAATTGCAGTTTTTGCTGAGTGGCGCCGCGACTTATAAGGCATACTGGCAAGTGGCATTGACGATGTCACGGTTAACGCCATAGTCGCCACTTGACAGTAGGTGTAGACCGTGTAGTACTAGTATCATCGTTCAACCATGGGTACCTAGTACATACTAGTAGCGTAGTAGTCCTCGGGCGACCTCGGCCCTCGCGATTTCCGCCCCTACAACTGCATGAGCAAACTTAGCAGACAGCAGTCTTAGCTGATGAATCAAAACATTATCAAGAATTTTAAAAATTAAATCTTAGAAGTGAATAACAAATGGCGATCATGCAATTTCTTTAACTTAAGTTAGGCATACGTCGCGGACGCAGAGGAACCTGAACTTGGAAATGCAGCGCCTAAGCCAGGTGACGACGTGACGTGAGCTCAACACTTACGGGGACGAGCGTAGACTAGATAGTATTAGGATAATTCCCGAACTCATCCTAAAACACTGACTTTTTTAAATCACAATTTTGTCACGGCAAATCTGCTCATGTTCCATAGTGAACAAGCAAACTATTTGAAAATTTATCTCTTTGCTGGAAATTGTTTGCCAAAGCATGCGTTATTTTTATACCCTTTTTGAATCGTGAAATTTTTTGAACTCTTCAATCGTTTTTTCCTGAATAGCCCTCAAAATTTAAGGAAAAGACAGCATCAGTTAATTTCTGAAGAATTAGGGTAGAGCTCAAGGATTTGTTCTATTCTACAATGACAACTAGGTACCGGTAGTGACATAAAAATTTAAAGTACAGTAGGTAGGACGCATGAAAATATTAAATGCAAATAAGTTAAAAAATTAAACCCAGTGAACTTTGTTGTATTTTTCTTCTATTAGCCAACAGCGAAACTCAAAACAACTCGGGTATTTTATTTGCCAAAATACGTTCTTATTATCATGCTGTGATCGAAGGCCCGATGTCTAACAGTCTCCTTAGCTTGCTGTAATGCGCAGCTGACAGTTCCACTTTCATGGTTTTATGAAGGTCTTGGCGCCGTGTTTGCACTACTGGTTAGACCTGTGGACATCGGCCTGCTGCTTGAATAAAAGATTATTGCAAATGTGGTTGAGACGGGCATTCGACTTTTTATTTTAATCCTTTTGATCAGAATTACGAACGTAATCCATGCTTATGCAATTTTTTTATGGCATAGTCCTTCTTATCACACAGTACGAGTAAAATTATTATTTTGTATATGCATATGGTTAATGTCTATATAAACTCTTTTTGTTGTGTTTAATATTGTCCATTATATGTGTTTTTTTGCTTATTGGGATCTTTCGTTAATGGCAACTTGGCAAGCTTATACCATCGACCAATTTCGTAATGTATTCTGGCTTCACTAACTGTGGCTCATTTCTGGCTTCATTCCACATCAACCCTGACATTGCTCTGAAACTACTCCGGCTTCACCTGTCTTCACTTCGGCACAACTCTGGCTTTACTCTATCTTTACTCGTTTTTCCCCCCGGCTTTACTCTGGCTTAACTTAAGGTTCACTTTGTCTTAACTCCGACTTTAGTCTGGCTACATTTGGGTAAGCTTCGTTTCAAATTCAGTTATTGATTTGAAACAAATTTTAAAAATAAAATGAAAATTAACAAATAAATAAAATAAAGAATTAAATAAGGTTATTGAATTTGAAACAAATTTGCATTACAACGCACATTAGATTGCATTTGAACGCATGAGATTGTATTAAAAGCATGTGATTGTATTAAACGCATGAGATTGTATTAAACGCATGTTATTGTGTTAAACAGTTAAATGCATGCTATCGCATTATACGCATAAAAAACGCGTGCAGCCATCCTGACAGGATGGCTGGATTTTGGGTGATGTCTTCAAGTACATAGTCATCTACTCATCGCATTAATTGCAACTTACCTATAAGAAGTGAGAGAGCTTGGAGCCTGGCTCTGTTGCGAAGTGAGCTTAATATGATTACTTAAACTTATAGATTTACTTGGCAGAGTTTTTCCTCTTAAAAATGTAATAAATACAATAAATAAGACTACAAATAATGCTGATAAACTTTCTCATAGTGTATTTTTTTCGTAATCGCCTTATCTTTTCACTATATCGACGCTGCCACACAGTTCTCGTTGGGAAGTAACCCTGTAGCATTCATTGAACTGGCAATTTGAGAATAGAAAAGAGACACGCGCACGTGAAGCTATATTCCCAACCTCAGTTATTGTGTCGTCACAAGAATAGCTTGTGGGTGGGAATAATGTCGCCTGCACGCCTTTAATTACGTGCAGCTGGAAGCATTGGCTGCGTCCTGCTCAAATTAGCTGCTCTGAACAATGATATTGCGAGCCATTATGGCCACTACTGCTGCTAATTAGTGCTGCTCCTTTCAGCAATATTGCCCATATTGCTTTCTGTCACCACTAATGTGGTCCTAATAAGGATGTTTGGAAAATGAAAAAATTATCCGGCTGCTTAGCCGTGAACGTCGACTTTTCCAAAACGCGACACTTTTCTTCCGTATTTAATCTTAATTAAGTATCGTTATCATTTATGATTTTCTGAAATAAAAAACGTTCCGATGAGAATAATATCCCGGGGCCAGCTGGTACACGAG